CAGGGCCGGATTAACTGGCGGAACATGGGAGAGACCTTTGTCCTGCAGTGGACATAGTCAGGCTGATGATGATGATGATATGGTCACATGCACATCTTCCGAAGCTTCTCTAAGCCTACGCACCCCATCCTCTACATGTCTCTCAAGATAAGATTCTGGCTCTTTCCCTTCAGGACATCCTTGAGACCAGCATGAATGATGACGAGGTTTCACCCTCCATGCTGTCCCCCACCTGTTCACGTGCTTTGGCCAGTGCATCTATCATGCACTCTCCTGTCTGCCTTCATTGTTGTGAGTACACCCTGCTCGCTTCTAACCACATTGGAGTCCGCCACCACTAGTGCCCTTCTATGGTCCAGTCATTCACTTCCGGCTTGATGTACTCCCGTTCGCCGAGTGTTGCCATTACGAGCCCACTGCCGATGCTCCTTTTCCTGCCCCCCCCCCCCCTTCCCCCTGAAGACTGATGTGTCACATCATTGTAGCCTTTTCTCTTTCTGCTGTTTTCACTTGTTCCTACCTGTGTCACTGCAGCCCCTAGGTCTTCTTTCTTGTCTGTGTCTGCCTGGTATTCCGTGCTGCCCATACCTTTTGCCTCACACTGCTCAGGACCAGGGTCAAGTGCCATAAGCGCCTTTACTCGCACTTCGAGCATGGCCCGCCATTTCTGTTCCTTCCTTAGATCGGCCTCCATTTGTTCTACTAGGCTGGCGGAAGCCTTCCCACGCTCACGTGTTTCTCCGAGCTGTGCTTGGAGCTCAATCCTTGGTTCACATTCCACCTTCAGCTCCCCTTTGAACCCCTCAACGTAAGTTTACATGCGCTGCACAGCCGCCTTCACTTTCCCCCTATGCTTGCACACAAAGCTTGCCTCCTCAGTGTTGACTAGACTTGTGAAGGCTGTCTCATCTAGGTAGCACCAGTGCGTTCATTCACCCACTGCACAAGATCTTTCTCGCCAGTGGTATTGCCAGCCCGCTTGGCCATTGCCCACCCGACCATCAAACAGAACAGGCGAACACGCAAAGTTCAATTAATATAACCAAACAAATGCACCCAAACAACCTGCAACGGGTTAAAACTGTCGCCTACCCCATTTAGCGCATGGTTAACATCACACTGAAACATTGCCGGTGGCGCACGGTATTCCCGTGTTACCAAAAATGCATCGAACCGAAAAATGTTTAGTTCTTATATATCTACATCCCCAACAACACAAGCAGTGAAATAAAAAAATAAATAATGGAAAAATGGAAGAAAAAAACTTATCTCTTTTTACGCTGCTCTGCCCTGCTGCTCGCCGTGGCACTCCAGCCAGTGACTGATCCCCGTGACGATCCCGCAGCGTCTGTGACTACAGCGCCATCGTTGCGGGATCGCGACTGATGGACAGTCAGAGCAGCCGGTTTTCACACCTCCCAATTCTAGCCACACTATGAGGGATGAGAAAGCCAGAGATGTGCGGCGCTTATACACGTTTGCTTGAGAGGCTCGCAGTAGCGGGAGGGAACTGTTGTGTTGTCACTTATGGATAATGTCCCTGTGGAGGATGTTTCCCGCTGTCTGCTGAATTTCCTTCGTAACCACGCAGACTTCTGCCAAATGTTCACCTTTGAATGTATACAGATATGAGGCTTTGCTACATACTACGCATTTTACAAAGGAAAGGGAGATGGTTAGTTGTACGATGACGTCACCAGTAGAGCGCCATGATAGAATAGTTTGCATTGCGGACCTTTCTGCAGTTTTCGAGTAAAGTAGTCCCCAAATTCTTATCGCAAAACAGGGACCCAGGTCATCTACTTGTTTACTGTTTTGATTTCAAAAAGCACAAAAAAGCACATTGCCATTTATTTGATTGATATTCTTACGTGAGTAACGAATCAATATATTGGAAATGTATTTACAAAATATATTTGCAAGAGCGGTTGCAGCGCTGGCCAGTCTGACTCCGAGCTCAAGCAGCAAGCGACCTTCATTCTCTTCGTCGGGCACAGAGGCGCATTGGCAATATGCATTGTGGCAGCCTACGTGTAGCAGAACCCCCGTCGGCGCTTTCGGCGCATCTAGATGTCAACGTCATTGGGCGAATGGTACTGCTTCAGGCGTGTGACGTGTACTAAGTTACTGGCCCGAGGGGTGGATGAAGACGACGAGGCAGCAAGGAGCTATTTCATAAGTGACGGGAGTCCCCGCACGAGGCACTCTGTATGGCCCTATGTACGGAGAGAGCAGTTTGTCAGACAGGCCAACGTGCCTGATCGGAGATCACAGCAGAACCAACGAACCTGGTGAAAAGTGCACATCGCATTGCCATTGATCATACCGACGCCGTTAGTTTTCTTCGGAGGTCAGTAGGCAAGCACGAGTGGCTTCCCGTACGTGGGTGGGCCGGCCAATGGCGTCCAGGCCATATTCTGTGGTAGGAGCTGCTGGTAACGGAATGACTGCATTGAGGGGCAATGTGTGTTCACGGCCGAACAACAGGAAAAATGGGGAGTAACCAGCTGTGTCATGGCGCGAAGAGTTGTACACAAATGTCACATATGGTAGAGCTAGGTCTCAGTCAGTGTGGTCTGAAGAAACTTACTTGGAAAGCATGTCGGTTTGCATATAGTTTCATACCATAATAACTAGAGGGGAATCTGGTGCTAGTGTCTACGCGGGCCCCTTTAGCGGCGCTTGTACCCCCATGGGAATTATGGGAAGTACAGGCTTCAGATCTGCTTCAGAGGGATCACGTTCATGAGGTTCGCGACTTGTTTGCAGAGTGTAAAACAAAGTGATATGAAGTTATGTCTAATTGAAACTTGCTTCATTTTCTTGTACCCAAATTTTAACGCAAAAGGTTTTTGTGACTAGGCGGTAAGTGAAACGTGGACAAATTTAACCACCAGGGTTAATTTCTCTAGCGTTCCAGATTTGGCATCAAGATGTCATAAATTATTCTTAATTTACAACATTCAAAAAAAAAAAACTCTTGTTTTGCCCTCGAAAGTACGCATTATCTATTTATATAAATAACTGCACAGTATTAGGTGAGAAACACTTAACGTTTTGTTTGATGCAATGCCAGGTGTGTCTGTTCCAGTGGTCTGCCCCCACGCATCTCTCGTTTTGTCCTGAAGTCGAGTCAGAAGAGCGCGGCGGTGCGTCTACTTCGCGTCTCTGTCGTTTTGCAGTTGATTTCAACGAGTTTTAGCAAGACGCACTAACAACAAACATGAACTCGATGTAATATCCTGCACTGGCATGAGACGCTACATATATGCACAGCGGTGAGTGGATGATGCTTCGCTTAAACTGTCCACTTATACAGCTCCAGCGTTGCAGTAAATTGAGAGGCCTAGCAGTCCTCAGCTTCTTTCAACAATATAGGCGCAGCTTCAGTCCTTTGCACCCACCCCCATACTCGCTCTATGCAAACAACGAAACTGAAACTGTAGAAAAAGATCCGTTGACAGTTCGCTGGCTAACGTGATCCAATCCGAAGCCTGTACTTCCTATAATTCCTATGAGGGTACACGATTGTACCGCCAGATTCCTCTCTAAGTATTATTGTATGAAACTCTATGTCAGTTAGGGTTCGGTTCTGGCGCTCCGTGAGGCCATTTGTTTGCGGATGGTACGACATAATGAGCTTGTGGCGCGTTGCACATGAGCGTAAGATGTCCGCTATGACTCTTGATAGAAATGTGAGGCCTTGGTCAGTGAGCAGCTGGCGTGAAGCACCATGTTGCAAGATGACGTCGTGTAGGAGAAAATCGGCGACGTCTGTGGCGCAACTTGTTGGAAGGGCGCGTGTGATGACGTAGCGTGTGGCGTAGTCAGTGTCCACAGCTATCCATCTATTGCCAGCAGAAGACAGGTGAAAAGGGAAAGAAAGGTTTAGAAGGAATGTCGAGTGGTTGAACGCGCCCAGCCGGAAGCGTCAACGGTGTTTTGCGGCACTGACATACCTCTTACGCCGGGATGTATCTTCTGACGGAGCGTGCAAGACCTGGCCAATAGAAGCGACGGCGAATCCGGTCATATGTGCGGGACACGCCGAGGTAATCGACAGTAGGAACATTGTGAAGTTCATGGAGTACAGTCGAACGGAGGTGTTCGGGTATAGTAAGCAGCAAAGATGGGCTGTCTGGATGGAAGTTATGCCGGTATGATGTACTATTCCAGCATACGAACAAGCGCTGGAATCTGTTCGATGGAAAGGAGTCAAGGCGCTCGATGATAATTTGCACTGCTATATAGCTACCACACTAACTTGAAGAATAAATGAGGAGGTCTTGAAAGATAACGTTATCAGCGGGTGAGTTCCACAACGACCCTTTGACTGCGTGAGCCAGGACAGTAAGCAGTCGCAATGTAAAAAATAATAAGATAACGCTCAATGACAAAATACTACTCTACTTATTTATACATTTTACTCATCAGGAGTAAAATGTATAAAATGAGCCCAGCCAGCATGGAGGAAGGAATGCCAGCCGGCCTTGCAACAGCTCTTCAATTATGCCAGTTGCATAACAGCATTCAGCAGTAATTTCCCTACGTGTTCCTCCTGTCACCAGCTTGTATGAGATTGGCGCATAACACAGGTGAGACTCAGGGTAATGTAAGGGGTTTCAAGGGGAGGCGAAGGGGCTGCCTCTCCTTGGAGTTAGGGATATGCAGCAGCACTGTTGGTTAGCCCACACAGGCTAGCATATCCGCGTGAAACGACCTTCATGATTTCTAACTATGCACACTACTGACTAATCTTGGAAGTCATGTAACGGCAGTAATAGAACCCTTCCCTGCCCCCTGCAAAAAGTTGGGCGGACGCTCTTGGTAAAGTCTGAACCCGAGCACTCACACCTAGTTGCGGCTTCCATTTTCAGCAACTAAGTTGGGGTGAATTTTAACTGTAGCACAGTGGCTAAGAACTTGCACAGCAGTGTGCTGGTGCTTTTCCAAATGCTCCTTCAGTGCACACACAAGGGTCTGATGATGTGAGGCACAGCTATGGTTGACTAGGCATTCGATTTAATTACAGCTTTGAGAAAAACTGCAGAGAAGGTCCACTCGGCTGTGCACACACATGCTATGAGACCACAAATGGTTGATGAAGATAGTCAGATGCGTGACAGTTGCTGAAGTAAGCTGGATGGCAGGAGTGCTTCCAGCTTGTCCAGGATATAGCCCAGGGGCAAAGCTAGCCACGCCAGAAGCGTGCGTGCCGCGAGACCCACAGGTTCGGGATACTGGTGCGTAAGCAAGGCCAGCAAGGCTGTCAGGGAGCACAGACCTGCTGTGAAGAGGATGAAGAACGGCAGTTCCTTTTTTGGGTACACAGAAAGTTCATGAAAGGGAGGCAGGAGCTCTCGGTCTGTTGCTTCTGTGCAGCCTGGGTATGGATAGAAGAGCTGCCCCCGTTCCAAAGGATATGGTAGCATGCGAAAGGTCCCCTCCCAGGACCAATGCAGTAAGTTGAGAGCTCCTTCGACTCGCTTCCAGTGGCGCAGATGAAAAAATGCATATGCAAGTGCCTCTGAGTCACCACGCTTGAGAAGGTGCTCGGGTGGCAAGATGAGGCTCTTGGCTTCTAACAAGTACTTGGGTACATGTGGGTTGAATTCAACAGCTCGATGCACAGCCTCGACGGCATTCAGCTCGGGGCCTGTCAAGCCTCTACGTGCCGCAGCCTCCGTCGAGAACTTGTCGGCTACACCACGTGCTTTGAGCAAGGCAGCTGTATAGCAGATGCTTGCCGACTTGGGAAGGTTGATGTCTGCACAAATCATAACAGCACATAAACTTCAAGGAACTGAAGAGGATAAGAACAGCAAATTTATTTACACATATTGTTTTCTGGGAGACATTACATAACAAAATTTCACAGAGCAGCATTGGTTCACAGTCTTTTATGTGGCCTCCAGTGCCATCTTTTTCTCTCCATTTCAATCCCAGGATCTCAAGGTGCCGATGCAGAAATAAGTAAAGAAGGCATTTTATGTCTACTCTGAAAATTATGACATGAAAAGGCGTCCTGGTCCTGACCATACCACAAACATTTTTCTGCAGAGATATGCAGGAAGGGTATTGAAGAATCTACACAATATTTGAACGGTATCGTTGAATATGTGATTTATCCCTGGTGGCAAATATTGAGCCAATTCCCAAATCTGATTCCAAATCGGACCTGAACAATTACAGACCAGTGTCACTCACAAGCACGTGTTGCAAAGTTTTGGAGCGCATGATTTACAAAACCATCGTTACCCACCTTGATGAAAATGATCTCTTGTCTCATTGCCAACATAGTTCAGGTCTAGATTGTAAACCAAAATGCAATTAGCAGTATTAATGCATGACATTACTAACAAACTTCAATTGATGCTTTTTTTATTTATCTAAAGCGTTTGATGTCAACCTGATCACCAAACTTTATGCTTATGGTAATGACAGAGCCACTGTCTCTTGGATTTCATGTTATCTTACGAAAGGAAAACAAAATGTCACTGTGAATTCTTGTTCATTAGAAAAACTGAGTGTTTTCTGGAGTGCCACAAGGTCAGTATTAGCACCCGTGTTATATTTATTTATATACATAATATACAAGACTGTTCATCCTAATGTACACATACGTTTGTTTGCGGACGATTGCATCATATATAAGCCAGTACACAGTCATGCAGATCAACTTTCGTTGAGCGAATCTTTAGGTTCTATTCAGACTTGGTGCAAGGAATGGGGTATGAGGCTACACACTATGAAGACAAAATTCATATCCTTCACTAATACAAAATAGCCGCTTGAATTCGAGTACATGCTAGGTAATACCGCATTATCTAGTACTTTACATATACATATCTGGGAGTAATTTTGACAACCCAAGTTAGGATTTGTTGGAAAGCTCACGATAAACAGATATTGCTAAGAAGAAAAATGAGGGGAGCACCAATATTTGTCAGATAGATAGCGTATAGTAAATTTTTAGTGCGACCTAGCCTAGGGTACGCAGATTCAATTTGGAGCCCTTAGCAGGAACACCAAAAATATCTTATTGACAAACTGGAGCGTATACAAAGACTGGCGGTTCAGTTTGCCTTTTCCGAATATTCAAAAACGATTATGGAGTCCAACCTAGGTAATTGCAGATTAATTTTGTGGTTAAAATAAATTATCATGCCCACTTTAGACGATTTCTCCCTTCGAATGAGTCACAGTAAATAGAGTAGGCAATCCGTGAGCCCACACAAGTACTTCCAGCAGCTACTGACAATTGGAATAAATTATCGAAAATGCCTCTGCTTGAGCAGACTCCTTTGTGAACATTACAGTAAATATCAACTTTGGCCTGAAACGTGTTTGCAACCCTGTGTATCAAAATTTACTTTGTATCCTTTTCGAGCTTATGTGCGCAGAAATCAACGCTGTTTGATCAACACTTCTCTGTATTTTTACTTATTTTTCCGTCTGTTCGACCATGTGCTCTTATATGCTACTCTTGCACATGAACTTTTTTCGTCACCCCACCTGCTTGGGCCCGCCTGCAGTATGTATATAGATCAGTACTGGAGGCCAAGTGCTGATCCTAGCTGGACAGTTAAAGTAATGTCGAGTTATGTCAATATAAGGCACACTGTTTAACAATATCCTAAGGTATTCTATGTGGGGAGCTGTTTAACCAGTAAAGGTGCATGCACTTGCCATCATATTTGGCGAGAACAGCTTGAACATCTGCATAAGCCTGGAGCTCAAGAAGGGCCTCGATGAGATTCTCGTGGATGTTGAAGAGATTCATGCTCGGAAACTCTTTCATCAGCTGCAAAGAATAAGGTGATCAGAATGATGGATATTTTTGTGACACCACATCAGCCAATACAGTCGGAACACATTCTCCAAGAGACGAAGCAGGAAGGAGAATTACCTAATAAAAATGATGGGGTCTTCAGGTTGGCTCCGCGTGAGCCTTTTCAGCCCAGAGCTAGCTGCTTGTCTTTAATGAGAGTTTCAATAAGCTCCTTCCACACCGACTGTAAGCGAGCTGGCAGCAGCTCTTTTGTTACCGTGCCTATTCAAATCGATCACTGGTGATTGACACTGAATCGTCAATTTTGACACGTTGAATTTGTTTCCCGTGCATCCAACACTTTCTAGTAGTTAGTCCAACCATTCTACCTTCACAATCAAGAAGAATGGCGATTTGGGCTAGTTGGTTTGAATTCATGATAATAAGGGTTGCAGCGCGAGCACGAATGTGCTAGAAGAAACAGACGAAAGTCGAGGTACGGAAGGCAAAGAGGACGACACGAGCACTGACGAACTCCTCTTTGCCTTCCGTACCTCGACTTTCGTCTGTTTCTTCTAGCACATTCGTGCTCGCGCTGCAACCCTTATTATCATGACTTCACAATCAATTTGAATTTGCCCGTTTTGGCAACATAGTGATTTTTTACAGATCTTTAGGCGAACTAATGTGCGATTGCTAATGGGAAAATGCACTTGACTGTTGAACTTGACAGAAGTTCGTGCCCCTCGTGATTATCACACAGTAATATTGAAGTTCTGTAATGAAAAGAACGTTTACAAGCCAAACACCAAATGGAAGCCAGCTTCATCATTTAACACTATTGAGTACAATTGCTAGAAATTTATGTCAGCTATTCAAATGAGAGGTATTGATAGGAGTCACTGAAAATTTATTCCGCAAAAAATATTTGCGATGGTCCGCCGCATGTTTAAAGTGTCGAGGTGGCCTTCTCTGTCAGTTGCCAGCAGCTTCAGTTTTGCTTGTATCGTTATATCAGACAGAGGGTCGCATGCAATGTCACTATTCGCTCTTATGGCGTTGTCGTCACGCGACCATGGGTGCAACCAGTGCTGCACAACACACGTGCCACTTGAAACTGTCTTGGACCCGCACCTGAATTGAATAAAGACAAGCGTAGAGTTCGAGGATGAGAGCCCCTCAGATTCAAGTTCTATGGTGACGATGTTTTGCGTCAGCCTGAGACATCTGCAGCCATTCATGGGCTTGGTTTGTTTACAGCCTCGACTTGTCTCCTCCGCTGCAAGTGCATAGCTGCCGATTGTTGTGCACAATGTTATAGCTATTCTGGTTACATGCGAGGTTCACACGTCGCTGGGATGCAGTGTGCTGGAGCCAGCGGCAGAGCTTCTCCTAACGACAAGAAGGAGCACAGCTTGGCCCTGATTACAGAACAGTGCAAAACGTTTTAGAACTGCTGGCGATATTGATTTTTTTTAATACGACGTGCAAAATGCTAAAAAATATGCTTTGATGCATATATAGAAACGCCAATCTATGCAGAGTGAGGTGGCTCATGAAAAGAAATGATGCTACACGAAATACCGAAGTTCAATAAACATCTCATTTATAGAGGGATTGTCTGTCGAGTAACATTACTAATCAGGCTACCAGATTTGTAGTTTTGCCACTACAGTTGAAGCCAGCTAAATCTGTTTCAAACCTTCATTTTGGTTGGAGCTCATTCACTTTGTTTGTACTTCATACTTCCTCCAACCGGACAATGCTTCATCCAACCATCGATTTCAGTTGAACCTGTTTACAACTATTTAAAGCTCCGCGAAGAGTGCCCTAAAAAATGTTTTGTTAACGACCAAGCTATTGTCGTCCTTTTTTTATTAAAAAGAGCTCACTCTCCTGGTGACAAGTTAAGCCTTTCTCATCGTAGAGTGATAACCACTGCGAACGCGCAAGTGCACTTTGCAATGAATTCATGCCGTTTCACTGATACCACTATATGGAGCTGATCAACCCTGGCTAGTTGCGTGCAGTGCGACACCTACTGTGCTCATGCTGCTTGCTGTAAACAGTATGCACATCATGAGCAGGAGCCCTTGAGAAGAAGGGGAAAGATGTCGACAAAGTCCGTACAACATTCTGAACAGCACGAGTGCGTGCACTGTAACAAGAGGCCCGAGGCACGTCACCAGAGGTGTGATCAGGACATAAGCGACGACCAACTGGCGTTGTGGACATGGACTTGCAAGACGTTAACGCGGCAGCCTGAGGTGGCTCAGAATGCAGCAAACATGCACGGTCATCTTGGACATGCCAGCCCCCTTTGAAGCAAGCCAACAAAAACAGTCCCAGGTGAGCCGCATTAGCTCGTACCAGTATTGCCAATGCCACTAGACCTCACCACTGAGGCTTTGCCACATCTGCAAGAAGGTCACATGCAAGAAGACGACTTTGACAGCGGCAGAAACGGCAATGCTCGTCAAGAGCGCCGAGAACCCTGACAGAGATGGAACGCAACAAATTTTGGACGGCTGTGCCGTGAAAAAGGCAAGTAAGACCAACCCTAGGTTTCAGAGGCTACAAGGCCAGGCTCATCAGACTCAACATAGAGACAGGTATATAGTACTATATAGTATAAAGTAGACTGATGCTTAGTTTGCACATATAGAAGTTTAGAACTCTCCTGCTTGTTTTTTCGAGTTTTTTACACCCGTTTCGTTTTGGAATGCCGTGCATTTGCCTATAACCCATTCTAGGTTTTCTTATATTCATGACACGGTGATATAAAAATTGGCTGTGGTATACTTATATAAACTATAAAATATAGTATGAACCGAATTTCATCAAATCCAAGCCAGTAGCTTGATGAAAAAAAAAAGTGGGAAGGTAACAACATCACTCTCAAAAACCAGAAAAAAAAATATTATCAGGCATTTCAATTGATAGGTTCTATCTATTTCAAGAAGAGGAAACTTTAGAAGCAGTTATAAAAAAACTGACCGAAATTCAACAGCATTATAACACTACATCCTCCCTTCGAAAGCATGATAAAAGACTTTTCCTCGAGATTACAAGGTCTTAGATTGCATATGAATGAGTGACTTAATGTTGAGCTAGTTGCAACGAGTGATCTGGCAGAAATTTTTCTGTAGACCGAAAAGTGGGACAAATGTGTCCCGCTGTCGGGCACAAAGGGCTAATAAATGTGTTGTACCGTGTACCACATCTTGCTTGAACCTACCACCATTGGCCACCTAAATTTATTACAATGCATAAGCTTGTGCATTCAAACCAGCCTCTGTTCAGAGTGCATGTGCGTGAGGTAAGTAGCCTGTTTGTTCTACACAGTGAAGTCTTGCAAGCAATGCACTCTCTATGTCTCTATGCTGCTCTGATAGTCTTGCAGGACTCAGTACACTTGGGTTGTTGCCTAATAAAACCTGTGGTATACGCTTGCTGTCAATGCATTGACGTTTCTCGGCACCTGCACCACTCGTAACCAGCGAGCTAGTTTCGTTTATATAAATGAAACTTTGAAATAGCAGCAGGGCAGAATTTTACCATCCTCAATCTGCACATTTCATTGTGCATGCACAGCCAAGCATATAGCTGCGCAGATGACTGCGATAACACTGTCAGCGATTGGTTTTAATGGGATGTCAAAAGTTATCCTCAGACTTCGGTGCTGTGTCTCCCCATTAAAATTGTATTACGCAGAGCTGGTCTGACGATATCTCTCCTTTGTCCATTCTGCCAGGAGTCATAAACTATTGGACATTATTTTGTATTGTGTCACAATAATTCAGTAATTAGGAAAAGACTCCTAGCTATTCCTTTTGTGAAGCTAAGTTCATGGGTGTCTGCAGTGGGGGGGGGGTGTGCAAAAAAAGCACTTGAACCCCTCACACCTCACCAGCACTTGCCCTCACCAAGTAAGTACACTAGTGCTTTCCCACTCTCCCAGCCGCAATGCAACCTTGAGTTGCACCCCCCCCCCCCCCCCCCTCCGTCGACAAACATGCCCACACTATTTCACACTATTTTCATGCGATGGAGCTTCCACAACTCTTGACACAACTGAGCGAAACGCGTTTTAATGCTGTGAACGCAGCCTTCAGTGATCCGTTCTTGGCTGCATGAATTTGCGAGGCCGCGGATTAACAGTCAATACTGCCATCTCGTTAGCCCTCATATTAGGCTTAATGCGGCATCCAGTTTAACGCACCACTGCAATTACATTGTGACTTCTGGCTTTTTTGCGGCAACCGTGTGCACTCTTATGATGCCAGACCGATGTGGACAAGTGGACCAGACAGACAATTTCATAATAGCTCCTCGGAATTTTGCGTTGAAGACACACGGGTTGCCGATGAATAATGATATCACAGCCATAACACAGAAACGCCTTCTATTGAAGAAGGGAAGGATACCGGGGTGAAGCGCTGCTCCTGATGGCGAACAAACCCATGGCCAGGAGCTCCTGTGAGTTTAGAATAGACAGAGAGAAAAATGTGGACAGGCAAGTCGGGTGCCCTGCCCCCTCCGGAAATATGAAAACTCTCTGCCTATGCGGAAACAGCACACACAGTTGGGCAAACCAAACATTGGGTACTTTTATCCAACTACTTTTACAAATGACGATATCGCTAGCTGAATGAAAAACGTCCCTAGTGAGACGCTAAAAAGAAAAATTACAGTATATTCCCAATACGACACTCAATCAACATAACAACAAACACAAGGCTATGCGTAGGCCTCGTCGCTCCTGTTCGACTCACCACGAGGGGTTCCACGGGACATGACCCTCAGTCAGTGTACCCGTGGACCACTGCAGGAGACAACCATCCAAGCCAGTCACGAAACGTTAAAGAGATTTGCTCTTTTTTCTCGTGCGCCCACCAATCATGACGATGGTGATATTGATGATGAACTTATATGAGCATTGCACAACTTATGCGAACATAGTTGCTCGGTGGTTGGTAAACCTAAATGTCGTTTATCTGCAAGACATGTGTGCGCTACGAGAGGCAAAGAACTTTACAGGGGGTGATAGCACCCCTCAAGCTGCAGGAAACGGCATCAGAAACGGCTCCAGGTGAAAGCTGACTGCAAGGCTTCAAGCTGCTTCTATTTCTTTCTTCCTTTTTTAATCCCCCTTGCAGCCATTCTGGCACTGAAGAAATGCTTAAGGGTGAGCGACCTCATTCATAGCGCCTGAAATCTGCTTGTGTGTGATGAATAAAGGAGAGGCACAAGACACGTGCTGAACACGGAAGCGCGGCGATGGTGCGAGAGGAGAGGAGAGTCATCCGAGTGCATGCGCACCAGCCACATAGAAGCAAGAGATTGGTCAGATGAAGGCTTGTGGCATGTGACCCGACCCGAAAAGAAAAATTTCAGAGGATGAGTGGGCACTGTGTGTTGGGACACCGAACTGCGAAGACGTGGGAAACAGGCGTCACTACTGCGACTGGAGCAGCATGATTGCCCGGTTCTGAAGGATGTCAGCAAGAGAGGCCCGGGAAGAAGGAGACTTTAAAGAATGTTCGATATGTAGAAGCAGTTTCAATGGGTAGCTGAGCAATATTGTAAATGCACAAAAGTACTGTTGCCCTAACCAACAGATGACATCTGTGATCTTTTGCGGTAATTCTGCAGACACATAAAAACAACCATCTGAGCAAAAAGCACACTTGGATATCAAGTGGGGCTTCACTCACATCACGCATCATCTTGACAGCCTCGCGAACCTTCCCCAGTTTTCGAGCACACATGGCCAATCTTCGACGTACGTACACAAGCACGTTGCAATCCCTTCCTGGGAGGAAAAAAAGAGAGGGTTACACTGGTTTTGAACTCACAAAGCTGGCCCTATTACAAGCATCCTCGAGAAAGCCTGCACTGTGCGGCAAGCTCTGTTTCCTCTTTTTAAGGGGCCATGACACCCCATTTTCAATGATAAGCTGTGGGTTGATCCTTCACAAACCAGTTGGCAAAATTTTAGGCCATTTGGCCGAGCACTCAATTTGTAATGAAATATTTTGATAAAAACGCAAGCGGCCTGAGAGTTGGTCAACACACTGGAGTCCTGGCAAACCATGACATGTGCAAACGTATGCGAAATAAGGGTATTAGAGCTTTCTTTAGTTTTGCAGCAGCTGAAACTCAGGCAGAAGATGACGCTCTCTGCAACTCACCACGGCAAAATGGCGGTCGCCGATGGTGGGCGGCTTCCAAGGCTTGTTATGCACAGAAATATTCTTTTCTAAACCCATATCTACACTGGTATATCAGACTTGTAGTTTTCAGGTGACTCATCATGGCCCCTTTAATTGTGATATCCTGCTTCTTTCCATAATGCTGCCCTCTTGCCGACGTCTTGAAACTACTCCGTGTAGGACGGGATGTATACTGCTTCTAGCACAGCACAACACCGACACAGGGCTAGCTAGATACTGGATCAACTCAACTTGGACATGCCATGAAAGGTGTTAATCGGAGAGGCGGCCAAAGATATTTTCAGAAAAACTACTTGGCCATCAAAAAGCTAAAGTATAAAGTAAAGCACTATTACATGCACACAGCTGATGTGCATCAGGCTACTCAGCTTCTCAACATAATTCCTGCTCTTCTTGTTAAACACCAACTGCTACAAAACTTCTCTTTGGTATAAGCAGTATACACAGTGTTTGTTTTTTATACAATACTGCTTGTTTTTAAATAAAAATTGTATAGCACGCACTTGTGCTACTTAACTGACTTCGATTATTCGCGATTAATTCTGTGTTTATGCCTTGTTCTTGCACACTTCAATCAGCATGCCCTCTGCACGAATGGAGAAGTGTTGGAATGTACTGCTTGGTTGAGCAGGTCGCGCAAGCGAAATAAGCCACACACATCCCAAAAGACAACTGAACTTTTTTTTTTCTCTTGAACGGCATAAACAAAAGGTTCCTCGTGCTTGCACTCTTGGCCTTCGTGCGCAGAAGCGCCATTTCACGCCGCTACAATACCCCCCCCCCCCCCCCCCCCCCCCCCCAGTAAATGGATCAACACCTTGTTGTAGTTCATAAGTTCAATCTCAATAAAGGTCTTGTACGTCGTCCACTCAGCATGAACCTTTCGTCAAATGGTTCGGCTGGTTCAGTCGGGTCTGCTAGTAGTCTTGCTACTGTAGATGGTGCACGTACTTCATTGCTGCTGTCCACATGTGCTGGTTTTACACGGTCAAGTGAAACCACACCATGACGGCCACTTCTGTCAATCATGATGTGCTTTTCTCCTCGTTTCACCGCCTTTAGTAGCCCATCATAAGGGGGCTGAAGTAGGTGCTGTACAGCGTCGTGTCTCACGAATACGTGAGAACAAGAGGAAAGATCACTGGAGACGTGGAGAGGCCGTGGTGCTGGTAGACTCAAAGGGTGAGGGCGCAGCTTGCTTATTACGAACTGCAGTCGCAGGGTGTACTCGTTGTTGGCCTGGGTGTTTGCGTTTTTACTGTCTGAGACAAACTCACCCGGAAAGCGAAGTGTTGTGCCGTACAAGAGTTCAGCTGAGCAGCAGCCAATGTCCGCTTCCGGAGCCGACAGAATTCCAAATAAAACCAGAGGTAGAGCCTCCACACAACTGTGACTTAAAGTTGCTGTCAGGCCGTTGTTTTGATGCACTGAATTCTTAGGAACTGCGTGATATTCCTGAATTGGGACTGACTCGAATTGCGTTCCACAATTTGTTGTCACAGTCAATGGAACTTTGAATCGCACTACCCAGTGGCAGACGAAAATGTGGGCAATCTTTTCGGGAGTGATATCAGAGATGGGAACGGCCTCTGGCCATCGCGTGAAGCAGTCGACGCAAGTTAGCAAGTTGTTTTGCCCTTGACAATAAGGCAATGTTCCCACGATGTCCCAATGCACAAGGGGAAATCGAGTGTCCGGCTCGGGGAAAGATCCTAAGGGGGTCACAGTATGGCACTGCACTTTGGAGCGCTGAATCCGCTAAATAGGCACTCCGGAATCCCATGTCGGACATCCCAGTTGGCCACACGAACCTAGCTGAGCAGAGCCGCTGAGTGGCTTGGGTTCCTGGATGCGAGAGGCCATGCAGCGATTCATAAATGTTGTGGCGACAATCCGGGGGTACGAATAATCTGGCCCTACCGGTGGACATGTCACAACACACAGGTCCTGCTGGTCCATCCACCCATTGCAGCTTCAAGGCACTGGTTGTGGACTTCAGTAGGTGCTTCAACTCCAGATCGCTGCGTTGAGCTGTGCTCAGTGCGGTGAAGTCAACGCCACTTGGTAGGCTGACGGGGTTCACTGGGCTGTGCTAACATGGCCTATATCTGTAGTGAATTCTGCTATGTGAGACATTTGGCGAAGCTCTCATGCCACGTGTGCACCCGTATCTGAGTTGATCGCGCACAATGCGTATGTCAGCGGTTTGTGATCTGTGAGCACAAAAAAATCAACATCTTCTACATAATGGCGGAAATGTCGTATAGCCGCGTATATAGCCAGGAGCTCACTACCAAAGGTGTTGTATCGGCCTTGGGCCTGGCTCAATTTTCTGGAGAAGAAGAAAATGGGTTACCACCTTCCGCTTGACTTCTGCTGTACAGTCGAGCCCACATATAACAGCCCCACTTAAAACAAACTTTTGCTTAAAACCACCAATATCCGTGTGACCGTGAAAATATACATTGGTTCAATGGCACAAAATCGCACTTACAACGAACGTCTCTAAGCGCCGCTGATCGGTTACAGCAAACAGAGTTGGCACTCTGCCGACTTCCCGGGAAACCACTTTCGACCACCAATCAGGCATCGGCAAGGTGCCCATACATTCTTATTGTTAAACGCCAACCTTGCCTCCGCACCCCTCTACTTGCCGCTCTCCCCGACCGCTTTTTGTTACGCACCCCTTTGTCCTTTGTCCCCCCGCTACTCTGAGCACCCCACATCGCCAGACGAAGCCCGTGTTTTCACACTGCCACCAATCTTTTGAGACCAGTCGGCCATCTACCCTGTTTTTGATCGCTGGTACTGTTGGTGGTGCTGGCCTGGAGTGACCAGACCATTTGCCAACATCGTCGCCCACTGACTGGATACAATCGTCTGCGCCTAGTGCACACGGGTACGCTACCCCACCGACTCTGATAATTTACGATTATTTTCGTGTTTAGGACTTGTTCTCACTTACTTCGCACTCGACTCGGCACGTGCGGAAGCACGAAAACGGCTGTTAATTTGCGTGGAACGAATCTCGAAATATCGAAGTTGGTGGAGCCACGCAAACCCGCCGGCGCAATAAAACGATTTTTTCACCGTGACTGCCAATTCTTTGAACACCGCCACGCGCACCGATCCAGGCAAACGTGCTCTGACTTCTGCCCGCGCCGGCATTCTTTCAAACTTTTCTACGTGCGAGTTGCGCGTTTCCTGGACCTTTCAAGCAAGCTACCCAACCTGCTTCCTTTCCGTGTGTTTTGGTTTTCAAGGTCGCCCTCCCACGGCATCCGCCCCTCTCTTCACTCTACCTCAACTCCTTGCCCTTCTTCTCTTACAAACCTGCTCTCCTCTCTTGATCACGACCCCTTCGCCCGTCTCCACCGCTCCACGATGCCAGCCACGCTGGCTCGAATTAGTTTTGTTTTCTGACTAGAAACGAGCCCAGAGCTGTTCCACGCGTTCTGGCATGAGTGACGCGTATGCGCATCTTGTTCGCTCTTGGTGTGCGTGTGTGGTCAGTATGGCAGAAGGGAGAATTTGCACGCTTTTTGCCTGCCGCTCAACAAAACATCGAAAGTGTGACCGCTTGGCTTGAGCGTATTCCCCGCGTTAGGTGCCACATTGCGGAGTGCTTGCTCATAGTTGTTGACCACCTGGCAGCCAACTTGCCGCTTCGGGGGTCCCGGTATTCAGCTGTGGAGATGACGAATATTTCGTGAGAGGCGGTGACAGCTACATGCGCGCGAAACTGTTTTCACGAAGCCGACTTCGTCGACGTCGGGCCCAATGCCGAGCCTGAAGTTTCAACAGGATCACTCCGGCAGCGATTTGTGGCAGCACGTCATCGACTCCGACCTGGGAGAGCGGGTGGGACATCTGTTGCGATAGTTTAATTACGACCGATGATGATGCCGACACTGCGGAACCGTGCACGGATTAGGGCATTGTGAATAAAGTACGTGGCGAGAGCGATTTGGAGGAGCAGGATTGCGAAAACGACGAAATTTTTGAGCTTGTGCCTCATGCAGCTTATGGCACGGGCTTCGGCAAGTGAGCACCCTGCTGTTTTAAATGAACTGGAGACCGCCCTTATTGCTCCTGCTCTTCGAAACATGTGCATCACGAACTTTTTTGGGTATAAAAGTTTGTGTTTTCACTCACAACTTTTTTAAATGCTGTGTTTCATTTACTACGAACTTCGGGATACAGCGAACGAATGCCGCGTCAGGCTCAGGTTCGTTATAAGCGAGCTCGACTGTGGTACGGCTATAATGGCTGTGTTTGAGGCGTCCACCATTACTTGTGGTACCCCAGGTTGCGGGTACACAAGCAGGGCAGCATTCCGAAGAGACTTTTTAATATGCCGAAACGCATCTACCGCTAGGTCGTTCCACTTGATGTCACTTGCCTTAGTTCCTGGAGCTACTAGTAGCTGTGCAGCGGGTGAAGGATGTGGGCACACTTTGGAACAAACTTACGATAGAAGTTTTTGAGTCCTAGGAACTCTCAGAGCTGGCGGATGATTGTTGGCTGAGGAAACTGCCGTACTACTTCAACCTTGTGCGGATGCAGTTGCACTCCCACA